AAAAAAAAAAGAATATGATGCATTTTAAGTTAATTTTTGTATTTAGTATAAGGCCTAAGTTCCCATTTTCGGTATATGGACATCCAATTGTTTCAGAACCATTTGTTTGAAAGATTTTCCTGTACCCATTGAATTATGTTACCACTTTTGTCAAAATAAGTTGACCATATACTTGTGCATCTACTTCGGGTAACTATTCTTTTGCAGTGCCAGTGCCACACTCTTTTGATTATTATAATTTTGATTTTTGTAATTTTTGATTATTGCAATTTATAATAGGTCTGCGGATAAGGTAGTATAAGCCCTGCAACTTGGTTCTTCTTTTTGAAACGTTTTTGGACTTGGGGCATGTGGGTGGCTCAGTCAGTTGAGCTCCTGACTTTGGCTCAGGTCATGATTTTACAGTCTGTGAGTTTGAGCCCTGCATTGGGCTCTGTGCTGACAGCTCAGAGCCTGGAGCCTGCTTCAGATTCTGTGTCTCCCCCCCCCCCCCCCCCCCCCCCGCTCTCTCTCTGCCCCTCTCCCACTAGCTCTGTCTCTCTCTCAAAAATAAATAAAAACATTAAATTTTTTAAAACATTTTCAGGCTTAGAAATTAGTCAAACGAGTATGCAAAATGCTGATGTCCTGATCCATAAGAAACTAAGAAAAGAGAGATGTGTATTTTTTGTTTTGTTTTGGTTTTAGTTTTTCTTGTTGTGTTTTGTTTGTAGAGTGGAAGAAAAGACACAGCTGTTTTTGGCATAATGATCCCTAATGAAATAAAAGGCTTAGAAGTCTAAGCAGTGATGCATACCTTTTCACTGATTTCATAGACATTTTACCCAAATGCTAATGAATGGTCTTAATGACTAGCCTTCTGTACCCCTCCACAACCCTCCCTTCTGAATCCAAAGAGACTTTGTCAATTCTCACTTCAAGCACAAATTCAGGGGAAATCAGATGGAATAAAATGAGTGACAGCCTAGGGCAAAGAAAAAAAAAGGGGAGAAAGCAGATGCCTGGGTGGAGGACAAAAGGCCTAAGAGACTCAGGGGGCAGGGAAGTCAGAGGAAACCAGAAGAAAGCTCAGAACCAGGGCTCCTTTTGCAAATCCAAGGTGAACTCTGTATGGGCTCATAAGCTGTGTTACACTATCGTCAGCGCTCAGTGTCCAGACTGGAGCTTCTTTGACTAATTATAATAGTTTCCCAATAATGGATTGAACCAGTTTTCTCTTCCAAACTCTTATAACAAAATAAAAAGATTACATGTTTAAAGGACCAAAAACAAAACTGCTCTATTTTTTATTTCTGAAATGGCATGAATGCAATGTGAGGGGTAAAAAATCTTTCACAGGTGTCTGGACATTTTACGGTAATTATTTAAATTGTTTAATATCTATATGTTTTTATTTTTTATTTTTTTAAGGTTTACTTATTTATTTGGAGAGACAGAGAGAGCAGGGGAGGGGCAGAGAGAGAGAGAGAGAGGGAGAGAGAGAATCCTAAGCAGGCTCCAGCGCAAAGCCCGACCCAGAGCTAGAACTCACAAACTGAGATATCATGACCTGAGCCAAAACCAGGAGTTGGATGCTTAACAGATTGAGCCACCCAGGTGCAGCCAGATGTTTTTTGATCAATCTCTGCAATGTTTAGGAATTTTAAAAATCTCTAACCTTAATAATTAAATGGTCAGTAATAGTGTTGATTGATCCATCTTCAGTAAGTTATATTTGGAACATATGCACATCAAATTTAGGAAGAGTCATATGGATATCTGCTGATTAAATAAGGATAACCAAAATCAGTGAATATGATTCATTTTTAATGGTTTAATGATTTAATGATAATTACTGTTTTGCTACAAGATAGCTAGTCATAACAGGAGAATGGCACACACACATAATCCATAGTAAGTCCATTTCAACACAAACCAAATCATCAGTAGTCTTCTCTTGACTTTGTTAATTTTCTGTATCATATTGCCATTTTTTCTTAATACCACACACTGTTTCAGTTGTGTTGCTGTATCCATTTTATCCTGACACACCTAAAAAGTTAAATGTCTACATTTTGAAAGATCCGAATGGCCTGAGTTCTCTGGTTCCCAAACCTTCAAGCTTTACAAGTGAAATAATACCCTGATAATTCTTGAGCTTCTCTTCCTTTCTCTATTTCCTGGCAGAAAGAATAAGTGCTGCAAAACTGGAGGCAAAAGAAACACTTTAGCCAAGAGGCTGTGAATGGACTTTGGGAATCACAGTTGTTAAAGGGGAAGTGACAGGGCACTGGGATGTGGTCACTGGTTCCATGATATTTGAGGGTAAGAAGAGAAGACTGGAAAGAAGCGAGGTTATGATTAACGGAGATTGAGGTAAGATAAGGAATATGAGTGGGGAACTCCACTCTCCCTAGCCTTGCTCTCTCGGGAGTCAGTCTTGGGCACAGTAAAATCATGGGCTTGGAGTTAATGCTCTCATCTGCTAACTACATCTAAAAGTCCTTTAATATAACAACCAGTCATTCATCCCACTACTAAAGTAAGGGATTTAAAAATATAAATATTTGAGATAGACTAGCTTACATATATTACAGCCAGCCTATAAATGAGGATCCCAGAAACATCCTTCTTTTGATTAGAGAAAACAGCTACAAAACAGGCATGGGTGGAAAGCTGGCAGGGTTGAGGGCAACTCTCAGGAAGCAAAAGGGAGCAGAAAGGGGAGGCCTGGAACATGGGGGCTGCGATGATGCTTCAGAACCTGAGGGTGCTGTACAGTAACAAAGGGCTTTCCTGCTCACATCTCGTTTTCTTCTGGCAGTGACCCTGTGAAGAAGAGGTACCTCACCAGTATACACAGGAAGAAACAGAGGCTTAAAGAGGTTCAGTGGCTTGCCAGTCATCACAGCAGTAGTAGCTGGTAGGGCTAGAAGAAGCTCACACCCGGGCACCTGCCTCTGAATCACATTCATTGGTCATTTTGCGGCTTCGCCATCTTCTTTGACTTGATGATTATTGGACAGACCTCATTTGTAAGAGACTGTATTACCAAGCTTCAACAGCACTGAAAATTACATTACTGTGTTCAACCATTAACTTACTCAAAAAAGAAGGCATAATTTTTAAGTTATTTCCTCAGCTCATTTAGCAATACATAGAAAGTCACATTACGTTGACTGCATTAGAGGAAAAATTACCAGCCAAAAATATTTATTTCTATACAAGTTTTTTTTTTAATAATCTACAAGGATAGTTTACTAATTTTTCAAAATTGTGTTTTCATGTATAATGTTATATTTTTATGAAGAAAATGATTTGTTTCCTTCTTTTCCTCATTCTGAGAATAAAAAAATGTCTTCCACCTTTGCTCAAAATAATTTTCTCTTCCAATTAAGCTACGAACAGTCCTAATTATGCAGACATTGTTATAATTAGCGGCCACCACCTAAAGCAGAATTTTCAGAAAGTTCAGAATTGAACAGGGCAAGATGTTATTTGATGTATTTTTTCTCCTCTGATTGTTCACACAATTTGACTTCAATGTTGCCATCACTGAATGCTTCTCCTTTTGTCTCCTCCACTGGGTTCTCTCTCTGGGAAAACACTGCTTTCTTCTGCATCATTGTAATTCCTGAATTTCCATGCCTTCGTGCTGGAGATAAGGTTTCTTTTACTATGCAATAACAAACTGCAGACAAAAAATTTTTTTTGAAGTTTTCATTCATAAATGCATAAACAATGGGATTACAGATGGAATTGGAAAATCCAATTATTTGCACGATAGCAAAAATCATCTTGATTGTGACATCATCATATTTCTTTTCAAAATTGCCTGAAATAAAAAGTAATAGTCTACAATGTATTATGTTTTCACGAGCATAAAATAAAATTTCTGTTTATCATATATCTTTACCAAACACTTACACTTGTACAAGTGGTTAAAGGTGTGAAAAATACTCAAGGCAATTTTGGGAAGAGCCATCTGATGTCTGAAGAAAAATGAGCTCTGTGATGAGTTCCCATTCTTAGAGAATCTTGGCTTACAAGCTTAGCCTGGTGCCCAGCACATATCAAGGAACTTACCGCATTTCGACTTGATTCCAAATGTCATGTAAACTGGAAGCAGCAGTTACCATTCAAACGTTCACTTGTGTTATAGAAATACAATCTGTATCTGAGAATCATGTTAAGTCTCAGATTATCACAGGTAATACACCGGGGGTCTGGCTGAAATCCTAGGTGTTATCAAATTCATATGGTTCAAGTCAGGATTCTAGATCTAAACAGAGAATGCTCATAGGCCGTCACACCTCCTCCATGTTTGACTGGTTTAGGGAGAACAGGGGACAGAGCATGAAAAAAGACTCTCAAAAATGTTTCTGTCCCTTCTGCGATTATTAAAGGTTTGTTCAAAATTGTACATAATTAACCCACCATGTAATGATCTGGTAATCTTGAAAATACGAGAGAAACCCATTAAATGTTTGATATTTGATTACCCAAGGGAATAGCCACAAAATTTTCAACGATTCATGGTCTAGTCTAGCAAGAAATGAACTAGAACTTCTAACAAATGAGAATGAAAAGCACTCACTGTATTCAGTCATCATGTGCACGATGTGGAAAGGTGCCCAGCATAGAGCAAAGAGAGCCACCACTGTCACCATCATAATGACAGCTCGCTTCTTCTTCCTGGACCCACAAGGACACATCGCATTAGTTAACTTCTCCTTGGAAAATTTGTCAAATTGATATCAAAGCTATTAAATAAAGTTTGAGCCTAAATCTCTCAACCATAACTTTTCAAATATTAATAAAGTTCATGATAGGTTAATTGTGGGCTGTTTATCATCTCTTCCCACTGCTATTGCCCTCATTCCCAAATCTCTCATCTTATAAACATCATTATGAAGGATGCTCATTATAGATCTAACACTCTGCTAGATGCTTGGCATGAGTCATGTCATTAATCTTCTCAGTAAGCCATTTGACAGATGCAGAAACTGAGGCACGGAGAAGGTTGAGTAACTTGCAAAGTCAGATGACTAATAAGGGATTTAAACTGTAAGGGCTAGTTTGGACGTAAAGTTAGGCAGCTAAAGTGAAGTGTTTAAGCCCTTATTCATTTTTATGTTGAAGAACACTCTTCTGAGGAAGTGAAGTGGAGAGTGAAATCAGCAATAAGTCCCAAAGAGCTGAAGATCCAGCCCTGGACACTGACAGGGAGGATTTCTTCATACAAACTGGACGCTAGAGGTCGCTGCACACTTGAAGAAATGATAGAATTTCATCTAACCATTAAACTTCTAAGATTTTTGTTTTTGTTTTTAATAGCTGTTCCATGTAGATTATAAAATAAATGATATGGAATACAAGTACTATATCAGTAAATTGTGTTTTAAAATTTTTATTAATGAATATAATCAGAAAAGAAAGCCCTTATTATGATAGTATAGATAATAATAAATAGCATACTCTGGTCACCAAAGAATTTTCATACAGATTTCATGTATTTCAGCATCATCTGAGGATGGATATTTATTATGCTCTCTGTCACACATGAGGCAAGCGGAAGCCTTAGGCGTAAGGATACTTATCTGCACCATGTGACTGCCGAGTGGTAGAGAGGAGAACACCACAGCTCTTCCTAGCAAGTCATCTTGACATATAGATGAAAATTCAACAGTTTTCCAAATTGTCTAAATACCTGCTATTCCTAAAATCTCCAAAGTTGAACGTCAGCCTATTCTGTGAACATGAATTACAAATGGCACTTGGGCTAAAGTTCCCAAGAATTGGGAGAGCTCTAGCAACTTCCCCCTCAAGCACGACTAATTAAAAGTATTTTAAACGGAGGCGACTGCTTCATTAAACAGACCTGGCTATTTTTGACATTTCTTTTCCGTGAATAGTTCGAAACACTGAGCAGTCCCCCACTCTTTTCTTTATCCAAAGTTCATAACCGATTTTAGTGTACAGGATAAGCATCAGCATAAGAGGCAGGAGGAACAGGATGACAAGGATGAACGTGGTATAGATTTTCTGGTGCGCAGGGCTGGCCCACTCTTCCAGACAGCAGACATGCTCCTTTTCATACAAGAAGTCATACTTAATCTTTAACATAAAAACAAATCAGTTAGAGGAGGCAGAGTCAGCATCAACAGAACAGAAAACAGCCACGTACTGCTATAATGCTGCAGTTTTCAAACCCTCCTGTATTGACTGTGGATCCATATTGCAAATTAGATACGAGTTTGATTGTTCGTTTGTTGTAAGGTGTCATTTTCTCCACATTTCTTACATTCTTAACAGTTCTATACTTTCTTTTCTATTTTAAATGGGATTGAGGTCAATAGGCTATTTTTTTTAATGTTTCTCAACTTTTTTTACACTGTGGTCAGAATTTTTTCAATTCGATGAAAGAGCTTTGACCAAAGTATGTATGCATACTGTCCAGATGAGGATTATTACTTTTCAGAGGAAGAATACACTACATCAATCAAGGTACATATGAAAAAAAGGAAACATCTTGTAATTGCACACCAGCTGGTTTAATGTTCCGTTATTTTGCTTCCTCAATTGTTGAAGAGACAGATTTTGGCAAAGTATCAGCTATTTTTCAGTTCATAGTACTGAAAGCTTGCATTTTGTTACTGCTATTTCAGATTGCAGTGATCAGGTTGCTTGCAAAGATTTTAGAAAGACAGCTGATAGCTTTAAGATTTGAGATGAATAAGAAATTGGGATTCAAACTATTGTCTATCTACAAATATTCAGACTCAGCTATCAGCCTTTGAGGTAGATATTTTACAGAAATGCAATGTCTCTTTGTTAATACTATTTCTGACAGATGGTTGGGTTCAAAATATTATTAAAAACAATATTAATAACAGTAGCAAATGCTAAGAAGGGACAAACTAAGCAAAGTCATTTATCTGGATAATAAGAATAAAAGAAAATTTATCAAAACTATTGCCATTTTAGTCACTTCAGAGATTTCCAGATGAAGTATCCCTAGGTCCTAGACATATTTCTGCCTCCATTCCTGCAAATTTTATTGCCAATATTTAGTCAATTGAATGGGGGGAAAAAGCTTTCTGGTATACTTATCAAAGGCAAGAAAATTCAAGTTCTGATCTAGGTATTATTTACAAATGCAACAAGGGATGAAAACACTTACTGAATAATAATTTCAAGATCCAAACTCCCTGGGAACGGGATATTAAGGTGAAATTCATGCTGACCCCATGTAGGCAGAGCCCACAAATGCCGACGACCATGGGGGCAACATATTGGCACATCTTAAAACACAAAGCTAGACTGATAGTCTCCAAGGGGGTGCATGTTGCCTTGGGAACAAGCAAAGACTTTCTGAGTGCACAGGCACATAGTTTTATGGGAATCAATTTCAGATTGTCTCTTTGGAACCATACAGTTCTCTAAAATTCCACTGCCTAGGGGAAGCCTGAGATTGAGTGTTGTGCTGGCCCTGCACTCCCAGCTCGCTTCTATCTCTCTTCTCCCCATCTACATAAGTCAGATGTCTCACTCAGTCCTACTCTTACTATGAGGCACTAAAAAAGGAAGTGGTTTGAACTACTGATGTCAGTGAAGCCACCGTAATCAAGACACCATAAATCCATGATAGGGTTTTGTGTTTTCCCTATATCAAACATATTTCTATTCTGGCTTTAGAAGAAAGGTATTTTGACAGATGTTGAGATGTTGTGAATTTATATTTTTCATACAGTGAAGAGGCAGAAGTGATGATGACAATTTTAATTTAGCCACCTCTTTGCTTCCATCCCATGAAAATTGTCAAATACGTCACTCCTGAGAGAGAGCCCATTGACAGCAAAGCAAAGAGAACATCAGTGGGTGGAAATGGTGAAGTTGGTGGTGTTTTATTTCATCCAGGTGAGAAATTCAGGCTTTATGCATGCTCACACACACTCTCTCTAATAGAATTTAGAAGTGAGAAGGTGGCCATGGGATGCATATTAATAGATTTATTTGATAGGAAAAATGAAATCACACTTTTTCCTGACAGAAAGCAAATCTGATTTAGCTGACTTGTCTGATAGTGAGGACCGACTCTGCCAATTACATATGTATTTCTTAAAAACTAAATGAGTTACATATTCAAAACATATTTAGAGCATATGATAAAATAATTTTATTTTAAAAAATAGACAAAACTCTTTGTGTTCTGTGGGCCAGAAATGGGCCCCACAAATGACTACCGGGTTGGGTCACGTGTGAAGCCTCCATCAGTATGGGATACCTGCCGGAATAAGGACAGCCTTAGAGAAAAGACCCAGCCACTTACAGTTGTGTGTGGAAGATACATGAGCACCCTGCTGGAGCAGCAGTCAGAAGCCTCAGTGGTGTTATCTTTGAAAAACCCATAAATAAGGAATCGATCATGGGCAGCAAAGTCACTCACAGAGGGCGATGATACCAGTACACCTGTCCCTTCCTCTCCCCATCCTTAACACCAGCTCCCAAGTTGCCAAGGGCAGCCATTTTCTTGGATGGGAAGAGAGAAAGAGAAACGCCCAGTAAGGAAGCAGAGAAGAAGGGAATCACCTCCCCTTTGCATATTGTAGGATTCTAGACCTAAAAACAGTTCAAGCTGAGCTGGGAGACATTTTGTGTTGATTGAGAATATGGACTTATGTGATTGTGACACCGGGCTGGAATTTTAATGACAGAATTAACAAGTTGTTGTGACTAAAAGTGACCATAGGAATGTTGCTATCTGAATGGCTGAAAGAATTACAGGGTCTGCTCAGAGCTTCATCCACAACATTTTGTCAGAGTATTGGAAAGTTCTCAGGTCACATTTTTATAGGTAGCAAGGGATAGAATAAAATTACTTCCAGCTCTCACCTGTGGAGTCCAGCTCATTCAATATACTAATTACATAAAAAAAAAAAAAAGAAGAAAGAAAGAAAGAAAGAAAGAAAGAAAGAAAGAAAGAAAAAAAATCAAGTCATGTTTTAAATGTACCCTTTCCTGAGGGCTCATTTGCTATCCTTGCCAATCGACATTTACCATCTAGTAAAGTTTCACTTTTGTCTATATCAATTTAAAAAGGTATAAAAGGATACAGTTAAAAAAAATTATCTAGTGATCAACCCACTACTGCCTTTGAAGACTACTGTCTGGGCTAGATCACCGATGCAGGACGTGTATGTATGCCCCATGGGATAGGCTGAGTCACCAAAAACAGCACAGTGTCCCCTTGCTGTGAATAGCCAGACAATGCTAGACCATCAGTTTAAGGTGTGGGGGAAGGGGAGAGATCAGATAAGATGATCCTGTCACACATTCCAATTCAGGGGCGCCTGGGTGGCGCAGTCGGTTAAGCGTCCGACTTCAGCCAGGTCACGATCTCGCGGTCGTGAGTTCGAGCCCCGCGTCAGGCTCTGGGCTGATGGCTCAGAGCCTGGAGCCTGTTTCCGATTCTGTGTCTCCCTCTCTCTCTGCCCCTCCCCCGTTCATGCTCTGTCTCTGTCTGTCCCAAAAATAAATAAATGTTGAAAAAAAAATTAAAAAAAAAACACATTCCAATTCAAATTTCAATTTGTCAATGTATGGGAGGCAGAGAAGAAAGGACTTATGAGGGACAATCAACAAATAAGCAGATGATTGATGACAATTTTTTGATGTGTTTTAAAAATAAAATAAAAATCTAAAGCAACCATTAAACTCTTAAAATGTAATAAGACACGGGAGGCCACTAGGAAAATATGTTCGGCTGACAGGAAAATGTAGAAAATGACTCTGATAAGTTTTCTTTTAAGCATTAAAGTCTTAACCAAGGAAGAACTAGATAAAACAGAGGAAAAAATCTTAAAACAAATTATTTTATTTCATTTGAAAATTTTTCAGTGAAATAATTGGGGTCACCAGAATTTGCTATAAAGCTCTTGCAGGAAGAAAAATGATTGTAATTGAGAAGGCTGGGGAACATTTCAATAATATGATGATCAAGCCAGCCCCGAACCTACCTCAAGGCGTTGTACATGCCACATGGGTGATCCTACGATGACTGCCAGCAGCCAGACCACACCTGCTAAGACATTAAAATCATCAGAATCTGATTCAGTGAGTGAAGCAGAACACATGCATACTTAAGCATAAAACATATGCTGTAAGCATGAAGACTCCTTATGTGCAATCATCTCTGCCCTAGAGCAGTGCAGTGGGCTACATGTTCCCACTGATGCTATTTCTCTGTCCTCAAAATTGTTGCTAGAATAGTCTTCCTTAAACATTTTTAAGTGTTTAATCAAAATCTTTAATAGTGTTGTACTACCTATAAGATAAAACTTCAACCCTTAACATGATCCCTGAGGTTCTCTCACTTGCCTCTCCCTCCTGTTATATTTCTGTCCACGTTCTTCATTTCCCAGGACTTAACTCAAAAGTCACTGTCTCTAGGAAATCTTTGAAGGCCACCATCATTTCCTGATAGAACTAATTCCCTGTTGGTTCCATTTGCCCTCTAGAGTGGCACCTTTGTTGCCTTAGTTGTTTCTTTTCAACTTCTTCTAAGCTCATTAAGGGCAAACACAATGCAATTTATTTTTGTACTTGTTTGTTTCCCTAAACAAGGGAAATTTTCCCCAAAGAAAATTCCTGGCCCTCAGAAGCACCTGCTGTTTGGTTGTCAAATGGATGAATAACTTAAACATGATATTGATCACCCTCTACAATTTCTTCTTAAAATTGAGTACATTTATCTTATGCATCATGAGTATTATTTTCTTATTTACAAAGCAAACATTTGATAAGAAACCAGAATGCTGTTTCCAAATTTCCTGTCCTTCATGATTTTGTTGACAGAATTGCTTTAATGATGTGTCCTTAGCAAGGAACAAAAGAGAATCAGAACAGACTAGGATGAGGCCATAACCAAGAGACCCACCATCAATTCTGAGAGAAATATCCCAGCTCAAATTCTTCTTATTCTCTCTGTATTAGGTACTATTAAGAAAACAGCATATTGCCTTGGATTTCAAGGAACTGGGACTCACTTAAGCCATAACTGGGGTTTATTATAAAGAAATACGTGAACTGGCACTGCCTATAGATAGTCATTATTATTCGATGATTCAAGACAGTTCTCAGACTCACAAATCAATCTCTCTCTATCCACATCGCCATAAACATCTGCTCTAATCTAGTCCAATAATTATCTCACTATGTAATCTTACATCCAATCACTTTTCCAATCTTTAGTAGAAATTCTGGATTCTAACTGAGTCTAATTGACTTAGCTCCTTGCCAATCCTTCTGGGTCTATTGCCTGTTCAGGGATAGAAAGGTTGAAGTTAGATGAATATTACTGGTGTAAATGAACCTTTGTGGGCAAATAAGTCTAGCAGGTCTCTGATGGTGGGGGCCTGGAGGCAAAGCAGTCTCAGCTAAGAGGTACTTGGCCAGAGAGAGACATCAGGCAACACTGTGTGAAAGCCCCATGGGATGCTGAGCCTTCTTGATTTAAAATCCTTTCTGTCTCCTATGAATTTTTTGAGTAGAAACTGCCTTGACTGCCTGTTATCGACTTTGCCCTCAGATGCTGAGACTCTCTACTTCTCTTTCCTTTTTTAATGACTTCCCTCCTCCATGTATTCCTTTCCTCATCCTCTTTCTACACCCACACACGCTTTTCAGATGTTTTGAAGGTGGGAAGATGTCAATTATTAAAAGCCAAGAGGTCTTTGAATTCTTTGTAGGGAGGATGTGACATAAATTTGAAAATAACTAACTAAAACTAACGAATATTTTCCCCGTTGGTTTATCTATTCATTTCATACTATGTAAAATGAGTTTGGCGTGGCAAAACCCTTAGGAGTTCTTTCTGTAATTCTACTGTCCCATTCTGGCTAAACTCCTAAAGCAGAAATAAATGTTTACCTATTCCTCTCAAGTGAGATACTAGTAAAAATTGCTCTTTTTGGTTATTGCATTAGTTTTTTTCTCAACCTTCCATTATTTAGCTGTAATACATATGCTACGGCTCTACTTTAAATGGCTCGATTGTAATTATCGAATAGAGAAATGCTTCCATCTTACTGTGCTAGGCTTTAGGACACCACTTACAGTTTGCCACTTATCAAGAGGTACATGCTCCTCATGTCTTGCTGACTCAGAAATGGTTACATCAAGCTGAGGATGCAGGAATGTCTGAAGCAAAATTATGAAGTGGATGGAATCTGTCTTCATCAGGCGCCTCCAGCACTCAGCAAGCACCTAGCGTCCCCATGAGCCCCGCGGCTATTGTGTCCTCAGCACTGGGGCCTCCTCTGAGCAGCACCCTCGTTCTCTACCCATCTAAAAACACCTTTCCTTCCCCCTGTCAAAATCTACTGGCCCTAAGAAGGGCATTTTAGGTTACACGCCTCTTACCTCAGGATGACAGTTTACTAATCTAATAAATGTTAATGTGGTAATGCCATTGAAGGTTATCTTAAATCAGTTAAAAGTAGTGCTTAAAAGTTTAAGACTTAAACTGAAGAAGTGAATCTGAGATAAGGAGATTTGAAGTGTGAGGTTAGGACTGAAAGAAGAAAAGGAGTGGAGGTCAAGGTAAAATGGGGAGAGGACTAAAACTCCGAAATTACTCCCTGATGCCTGCAAGGCTAGACAGGAAGCTACTCGTCCGCTTCATCAATATAGTTCACATTGAAGAAATTCTTTTGTTCTGTACTGAAGAAGAGCATGAGTACTGCCACTGGCACACTCTCACCTAGCATGGTAAAAGCCCTTCTGTTGGTGTATTGCCACTTCATTTTAAAAGGATGGACAAGTCCCTGGTGCCTTTCCACAGCAATGCAGGTCATAGTAAGAATTTCTGCCACGATAGCAGTTGACTGGACAAATGGCAGCATCTTGCAAATGAAGGCACCTGCAGCAAGGAAACAGGACCAGTTAAACATCAAGATAAAAGTTTTATCTGTGTTTTTGTAATTGTTACAGTTGATTAATTCTGAGCCTCTGTTTAAAAGTTTTATGATTATAGTGACATTATAGACTCAAAATAATTGAAAAAGATTGAACTGGCTGATATTATCTTTAAGTTCCTTAATTATAGGTAATTATGTACATGAGGACAATGAGAGGACCAGTTAGTATCTGGTTATTGATAACAGGCAGAAAAAAAATCAATGTGAGCTTTGATCGAGAAACAACAAAGTCAGCGTGAAGTGGTCTCCTGGTGTCTCAACTATAGGTAGTCATCTTTATGTCTTTCTTTTTGGTTCTTTGTTAAATCACGGCAAAGGAAGAATTCTCACCAAAGACTCAGATTTCTTCTTTTATTTTTTATTCTCCTTTGCCTTTCTGTCCAAGACCTTATGTGTGGATTACATCATTACGCTCATAACTGATTTCACTTTCTCTAGTGCAAAGATCTCAAATTGGTGGCCCCTGGGCAAGATTTGGTGTGCAAATAGACTTTGCATGATTTGCATAATATTTTTTACAATACTTGAATGCATTGCCAGTATTTTGAAATGTTTACACTATCTGCCTTGCCCCTTCACCATTCATTTGTAACCCTGGTCTAACATTTCTGCTCTTGACTCTATCTTGCTCATTGCTACCAAATTAGTTACTCTGAATTATCAGAGAATCAGAAAGTCAGGGAATATGAAGAGTTGGAAGAGACCTCAGAAGTCATGGAGTCCAAGCTCTCACCAAAAATAAAAATCATCTTTTCAGCTTCTCTCATAGATTCTCTGCCAAGCTCTGCTTAAATATCTGCAGAAGAGGCTTCCTTTCTGGCATACTCCCATCTCATGCTGATGTGTGGCTTTCCTTTTCTGCTTGGAATGCTTTTCCCCCAGAGAACTCCTCCTCCCTCTTACTCTACTTTTTTTTCCTTAACTTTTTCACCTTCCTGAAGACTACATAATCTACTGATTGGTTTCATTTTCATTAAAAGTTTCCCTATGTCTACCAGAATGTAAACAATCCAAGAGCAAGAATTATGTTTTCTTCCCTGATATATTTCAAGCATTTAGAATGGCACAAGGAGGCTCTCAGCCAGAATTCACTGAATTGAAGATAATGAGTAACCAGAGGGCTTTTAACCTCTCAAAATGCCTCCATTCAGCTTGGGAGAAAGGCTGTCACTGGAGAAAGTGCTTTTCAGTAGTTCCACCCACTTCTTCCAGTTTCACTTTCTGCTTTCTGAGAGTTTCAGAACTAACCAACTATCTTTTCCAAACATCAGCTCTTCATATCTTTGAAAGAGCCATGCCACTCCTAAGTCTTTTCTTTTATAGTTTCTCCAGTTGTTCTTCATTTGACATGTTTTCAAACCTTTCAATTCCTTGGATGCCTTCCATGGACTTTCTTTGGTTTAGTAACTACATGGTCCTGAAGGAAACCCACCATCCCAAGATGTGGTCTAGCTAAAGCAGAAACTGAAGGATTATATTGCTTCCTTTCCAATACCCCTCACATTGTTCTGTGACTGTGACTAGAATTTACAACAACTTTCAGTGCTAGGATTTTCAAATGGTTGGCTTCTGTTGCACTTGAAATCAACTTGAAACCAACTGGGTCCATTTAACAGAAAATTATTTTTAATAGAATATTTTTGTCCATCCAATATTGCTGAAACTAAGGGAAAAGACGTATTTAGATATCACTCTAGATACTTCCTTTCCAATCCTTTTTGGGAGCTCCAAATTTCAATCCAAGAGCCAATCACACTCATTTATCCTCTGTTCCAGTTTCCCAAATCCAAACCCTGTTCAAAGTTAAGGCCTTTCCTTGTCTATTAGAGTTGTTTAAATGCTAAGTGCAGAAATTTGCTTTCATACTAATATATTTCACTGTTTGAATACTGATCATACTATGAATGAATTAAATTACCTTTAATCCTATCTTGGATGTGATACTTGAATAAAGGTAAATGTGAATAAATTATTCACCTGAAAATGTCTCCTTTTTTGTTTTTTAAAAAATCTGATAAGAATTTCTTCTACTCTTTCAACCAAGTTGTTTATTAAAAAATAGTTGGATAGGCTGAGGTTAAGAAACATCAGAAGAAACTTTCCATGAGATAAACATGATTCATTATCAACACAGTTTATGTGTAACTATCCAAAAGTAAGAATTATTATGGTAATGTTTACTGTAGTCTTATGGTAGTATTATCCATCCTAAATATATTCATTGTGTCTATAATAATAGCATGGGATATTGGTCAACTGATTCCCTGTTTTTAGGATATGCTCTGATCCTGATTCTTCTGATCTTTTACTTAGCCACTCTGAGTCTCAATTTCATCATTTGTAAAAAGGGATTAATAACACCCATCTGTCACAGGACTTATGGGTGTACTGATGTGATTATAAAATCATATAAATGCCCATCAAAGGATGTATTCTTTAATAAATGGAAGCCATTTTATCATCAAAAAGAATTGAGGTAATTTGGTACATTTAGAGCTAATAGATTCTTTGTGGATACATTCTAAACTACCATCAAAGGGCGTCTAGTTTTATAACATTTCCCAAATCAAGATATGCAGCTCAAAACACTCAAATGATTTGCTCATGTCTAAACAGCTGTCTATTGACAGATGAGGGCCTGTGCTCAGGTCGTCTGACTCCAATTCTTTCTACTATGTCATCCTCACTTAACACATCCATGTTATGTGGCAGTTTTCTTGTCTCATAAATCATCTGTTTAATAATCCACTTGAGAATCTCGCACCGGGTTGTCGTAGTTCTATAATCTGTCATCTTACCCTTTTAATGCATCCAGACAGCATTTGCCCAACTCATTGCTTCTGACATTTCTTCAAACAATGTTTTAAGAAATTACTGGCTGTGTGTTCTTGATCACATTGCCAAGTTTTTTCAGTGTTATGGTATGGTATTTATCCAGGCTGAAGATTTGAGTTCTTTTAAAAATAGGTAGATGTTCAGGTGTCCTGTGTGGCTCAGTCAGTTGAGCATCTCACTTGGGCACAGGTCATGATCTCACAGTCTGTGAATTCGAGCCCCGCGTCAGGCTGTGTGCTGTGAGCTCAGAGCCTGGAGCCTGCTTAAGATTCTGTGTCTCTCTCTCTCTCTGCCCCTCTCCCACTCATGCTCTGTCTCTGTCTCTTTCAAAAATAAACATTAAAAAAATTTTTTTTAATAGATAGATGCTCTTTTGCTATCCATTCACTTATCTTGGACCTTTATTTTTCATTCTAAACATCGTTGGTATGCTCTTTTTAAATTTTGAGATCATTTTTCAAGGTCTAGAAGACTAAAGCAAAAAAGGCACTGAAGATTTTTTTTTTTTCTGTCGCCCATTAAATTTCCTACCCTTGTTCTGGTACTCTCTCTGATGACTCTTCAGTCAGCTTGTTCTACACTTTAGATTTCCTAGTGTAAAATTTATAGGTCTGAGCTACTTTGGAAGAATGTGTCCTTTGCAACATGTCTTCCTAACAGTGGCAATTTGAAACTGAAATAATCCTAGAATTCCCTATATAGGGCACTGCTTTCTTGGAATGTCCTTCCTTTTTTCTTTATGGGATTACCTGATTTTAATATCAGATTGTGTTTGTTTAAGCCTGCCTGGAATTCCTATTTCTCATATTTTTATTATCCACTATCCACCTGCATTTCCTAACAGCAACACAATATCCTCTAGTGTATAAACTCTACAGTATGTGGGCAGGTTAGGTAAGAAGTCCTGCTATAGAAGACAAAGAATTCTCACAATCTATCAGCTTCCAGTGTTCCAAATTTACTTCAATTATTTTAATATGTTGAAAGAACACATTGAAGGTGGAAGGGGGGTCGAGGTGGTGCAATCCTGTGCTCACCAGATCTTGAGTGTTAACAGACCACAGCTTAGTTACCGCTTTTGACCTCTGAGTACCCTCAGTTCCTCTGTTACAGACCCATTCCTCAAGCTTCACACTGATCCTTGAGCCTCCCACATCCTTCCAGTACCTTCCCTTCTCTTAAGCCACTTAGCTATCAACAGTTGCTTGTAACAGAGTAAACTTATTTGATATACTCCATTTTTATTATCATTTCTTTAGAAGACGGATTTCCCAAAATGCAGACTACTCTGATCAATGTTCTTTCTGTGTGTATTGCTAACTCTAAAATAACAGTCGGATCCTACTATTACGGTTTTTCCATTGCTGCTTCTATTTCTACTATGTGTGACTCCTGCATAAGAAACTACAAGTCTCCTTTGACTACTAGATTAAGAAGAAATGTTTTTGTTTACTATTTATTGCCTTCTATTCCCAACCTTGACTTATTTATACAACTTTATTTTCCAGAACAAGAATTCTTGTGTTCTGACAGAATGGTGCCCACTCTATCTATTCAATCCTGCCCTCACTTCCCACCATGCATAATATTGGTCTTAGTGGTTCAAATAGAAACAAGACCTCATTATTTCTAAAACTGGTGCTTGGAAATTGAAAACATTTGGCCAGTATTTATTTTCATCCTAGTGTAATGGTGAGTTTAACAATGACCAAAGTGGAAAGGCAGAGTAAAAAGAACAGGGTATTTATATGTAAAAAGATTAAAACATTCTTTTATTAGTTTAGAAACTGGTACAATGAAGTATAATTGCATGAAAGTATCTAATGATAGCCATTCTCTGAAGAATCTGTTCCAAGGTTAGTAAAACAAAGGCAAAGCAAAACAAATAAAAAATGTGAATAGACATATACAGTTTATATTACAAAAAAAAAGGCTACTTTATATAACCACTATTTGAAACAATGGTTTAACGCATTATAAAACAATCTGGAAAAATCTGGCATTATAATTACCTTAATTTTCTGTACCAAAACAAGCCATATTGAAACAATTGATACATTCTGTCCCAATATAGCTTGTGAGTTTCTGGCTTTGTCCAATATGTTTC